CGCAGACGACGAGGCTGTAGCCATCGTAAGTTGTGGGAGTTCTCAGATCGTTACAATCGGCAAGCCGAGCCCTACAGCGCGGGAGAAGATCGAAGACAACAGAATGTGTAGTTAAGCTGGTGCTGTTGTCATTGGAGAAGACAGAGCAGGTGTAGACTCTGAGAGATGGACGGTGGTGTCAGCTGCAGTTACAATTTCGAGGGAGATAAGTCGAGACTGCCTGTCCCCCTCTCCCTCACAACCGGCTGCGCTGCAGGCGTGTTGGGCAGATTGAGTCACGGCACGCGTTAATCGGACGGCGCGGGGTCCGCGATGTTGGCAGCCCGTCCCTCGTATTCATTACAATGCGCATCTGGGTAACTGGTTCGAAGACGTTGGACCACGCTTAATGGCTTCCCCGAATCTGGCCCCTACAGCACTACCACACATGTGAGGTCCGAACCGCCCCCTGTCGTACTCTGGACATTGCGCGGGGAGCAGATCGCGCGTGGCACGCGTAGACGGGCCGCACGAGCCCGCCTCCGGCCACTCTGACACTGTCTTGCCACTAGATCAAGGTAGGTGGGGGTGGTGAGTGTGGTAGGTGCTTCGAAAGTCTACTACCATTATAAACTAAATCGCGTGAAATTCACCGGCGCTCTGACTCCTCCACGAGGCAGGTAGTGGATGCGACCGCTCACGTCGGTCGTGTTGCGTTCGCCAGGGAGTGGTGCGTCCAAGTGGGGTACTGGTGGCTGGGCTGTGACCTTCTGGACACGCGTGTCCGAGCGGAGGTCAGTTGAATGACCCAGTAAGGTTGGTTTGTAGCAAGAGTCTTTGTAGTTGAATTGAGTGGCCTCACATTGCTTGAATCCCGAAGCAAATAAGACGACTGGTGCAATGACGGCGGTCAGTCAGAACTCCAGCCCCACTTAAGGCATTTTAACATTGTGCATACTTGGACTTAGTACTGTTAAGCGCTCCACCGTGTGTCTGGTCTTTTACCATCTGCGAGAAGCCGTAGATTCATGCGACTACCGAGAAAACTGTAACGCCGTGCGCCAGCACCATCTGATGCGGGAATTCCGTTCGGTCATGGGATATTTTTTATGACAGTTTTAATTCATCGGTTGTCGCGTTGGTCGCCACTGACTGCGACCTAATTCGACCTATATCATATTTCCAGTACCACTGAAATCAAGCCTGGCCTCTCGCAAGTCACTGCAGCGTTGTACTCGCAACGTCTGTTTTGACGCCGGACTTGGTGAGTAGGGAAGGAGTGATCGCGATAGGCGCTGCGCAAGTGACCGTCCCTGTGCCCACCATACTGCGCTTCGAAATGGTCAGAACAGCGAACCCGCGACGGATTAATTTTCTGGGCGGTGGCAGCCATCAGTGCGTTTCCAGTCTCGGAGCGAATCTTCAGGCAGTCTCGCAGCCCTTTGAGAAATCAAGAGTTACGGAGTGATCTGAGCAGTAGCCAGTTCTCATTGCTAGAAATACTTCATTTAATCGCCATGCTTGGACAAATGGCGAGCAATCTCATGAACTGAAGCTCATTTCTGCTCTCTAGCCTAGTCTTTCAGCACACCAGAGCCAAACTATCCAGAACCACACTGGGCAGTTTGAAGGTTAAAAAAACATGAAGGTCGGCTTCCTATGAGGAATATCCTCACTTCTGCCATCTTTACGATTCGGTTAGATGTCCTAATGACGTCGGCCTCATGAGTCGGCGTAAAGTGCCAGCTTCTGCTACAACCAGCTGTCACAGTTAATGTTTTACGGACATCGTCCGTTAAATTCAGTTCGCAGCATGTAGTGAGAGAGTGATCCAATGCAGAGAAACCCAGCGACAAAAACGAAGAAAGACGTTTCGGCATTTGGCTAGTGCCTGTGAGAGCGGTGCGGTAGGTCACGCAACATGTGATCTGTTAACCCAATAACAGTATCTACTTTAATACTTTAAGTAGGTACTTTTTTCTACTCAACATCGGCACTCGGCGATCAGCCAGGCAGTCTAGCTTGCACACCATTCGCCCGAACCATTAGACTGGGGTTGCGGAGCGTCAGTTCACCCGGACACCGCACCATGAATTACAATATTTCAATTAATGAAATAACTTGGGAATTCGGAACACAGGCGAATCGTCAACAGCCCCTCAGATTGTTGGAGGTTGTCTCCGAACGCTTTGGCTCAAGGAACAACCCCCCAAGGCACAGCTGGTCAGAAAACTTCAGTGGCACCCCACAGTCGCTATGTTGAAAGGACAGTTGGCGTGCCAGACTTCGGGTCCCCGCGTCTCCGTAACATTGTCGGTACTGATCTGCGACCGCTTATTCGTTAAATTCAGTTAACTGATTCCTTTACAGCCAACATTCGATGACGATCGTTCCCCTATCCACCACACATAAACGCGTCGGAAAGCAGCCCTTGTGATGGATAAAAGCCATCTCATACAAAAGAACGCTGGACAGTGAGGGCTGCACCATATGCGCTAGGTAATTCAGGTAGCTGACTTAGCATGAAAGTAGTTCCTCCAGCAGACAAGGATTTTAGCATCGACAGTAGCCAGACAGCTCGTTCACGATGCCTATCGGCTTGTACAAGACATAATAATAGCGATCGAATCCACCAGAATCCAAATATTTGGCTCAAAATGACTGGGATGCACATCGCCTCTCCGAAAAAAGGACTAGGCAAGGATTAAGTATATGCGCGGAGTAAGAAAATGTCAACTGTTGTTTAAAAAATTCATCGGCGTTTTAGCACTCCTGCTTTACTGGCAGACATGTGCATCCCATCTACCATTATTTCAAGTATTTTTTATTTCTTGACTGCTCTCCGTGCCGAAATTTTCCTAAAAATCGAGCTTTCTACCTGCTAAAGATTTACGTGTGAAGGGTACAGAGCAATGAACCAATATACACATTTCAGCGGTACCGGCTCCTCAGGGCGATACAGGTCGGCGAATGTCATCCTGCCGACGAAAGGTCGACCAAAAACTCCGCGGAAGAACGCCGTCTTTGAAAAATATGGTAGGCAGTTCTCTGTGGTTTTTCTTTACCTCGCGCATATACTAAATCCTTACCGATAACTAAAGCAAGGCTATTAAAACACTCAAATAGAGGGATCCTGGGTTCGAAAGAAACCTCTTCTTGGCGAGAAAACACAAACAGCCTCCGGTATATTTGTGAGACATTTAGCAGCCTTCTGGATAAAGGCTCGTGCCAAGCTTCTTCTAACTTGCTGCATCGTTAGCAGCAGAGAACATAGCAACTGGCAGCTGAAGACGAAGAGAGTTGACTGAAAACTACCCGCACTCAAAATCCCATCACAGATTGCAAAATGAGGCCAGGTAAAGAACGTGACGGGCTCTCATAATGTCATCTAACAGAGCTGAACGCCTTTGAGTGCATGGATGAATAAAATCTCATTGGCATTGTCGTCATTCGCACAGAACTCGAGACATTATTATTTGGTCCTTCTTTGTGATCGGAAAGTTGTACTAACCAGCCGGATCAGATTATCGCGAAGAATATCAGCTATTCGGAAGTTAGCCAGGTCGGATTGGGCTTTGCAAACCTCTAATACAACTAGGCGCTCGACAAAGCAGCCTAGAATAGGATGAGAAGCACTTGGTGACGAGTGGGACACCCGACAGCACACCCGTGTGTTAGAAGAGCATGTTTAACCAGGAGTTTATGCAGTCATAGGATCTCTGCAGTGCATGAATATAATTGTGACCGAGGTTTTGAAATAAGAACACCTGGCCATGATGAATTTCGTGGACCAGAACAAAAAAATTTCCGTTCAGTTGAGGCGTTTCGATAAATACTACTTGCTGAACTGAATAAGCCGTTTGCAAACTTGAGTTTAAAATGCATATTAATCATCTAGGGCGATCCGAAGTCGGGGCTGTCATCGGAACATGATGCTCGTAGGAAGACTGCAGTGAGACAAGTGTTGCGCAAGTATTCCCCACCAAACGAATTCACGCGCGTCATCAGTGCGACGCTCAGAAAAGTGAATTTCGACAAACTGCTGGGCATTTGCACGCTTGTCAGCGTAGCAAACTTTCTAGCTGCTGCAGCACAAGAGCCAACAAAGATGCTCATATAAACGTCTGCATGGACGCTGCACCAGATGATAGCGAGAGCGGACCAAATCGACAAAAACAGGCATTTGACTCGGTAAATTTGGCTTACATTGGCACCGGAGAGACGGGGCTCCAGTTTCATTCAAGTAAGAAGAATTGTACAATAGCATGTGCGTATATTACTACCGTCCGTTACTTCAGCAGTTGGTGACTTGTCTTACGTTCATATTTACACGAGTAGAATGCACATAGGCTTCCAAGGATGAATAAACATCACTGTTCGACAAAGTATCTCCAAGTGGATGCGTCTGAACAAGTGTGTGGGAGAGGTCGGAGATTAAATTCGTCGGAAGCTGTGTTTTCACATCCCAGCGTAACAGCTTCGGAACGGCATGGTATGCCAGACGGCTACTACCGCCGGATATAAGGACGTCGCCATGACGCAGGACAATAGGTAAGACTGTGTTTCCACTAGATTCTCCAGTCAAATCATTAGATTGTTCATGTGGAAGTCGCGGACCCGGCATTTTTTCCGAAGCTTCTAGTAAAAAAATGCAGGGTCGTCCGAGACTGCATACATGTAAAAGGAGATTGGATATACCTAACTGAGATAAGCGGGGCAAATTTGTTGGGTTCAGCCTGGTCGATGTGAAAGCCCATATTCGTTTTTCCTCTGTAATAATTTACAATGGCGGCTTCGGGAACAAAGTTGGAGTATCGGCTAACATCTGTTAGGAGATTTTCCTTATGGATGCTGGGCAGGAAGGAGGCAATGACTGTCGATATTGACTGAAATAATTTTGTAGCATCCTCTGGAAACGGAGAATAACATCCTTCTGGGTATGTCTACGAAATGGCGGACAGAATTATCTTACTTTATTAGTCCAGTCATAATGGTAGCCGAGGGTTATCCAGCGAAGCTGTTCAAGAGCAGACCGTCTCGAATCCGACCTGCGGTAAATTATCCGAAGTCAAAATTACTTCAACAAGAAATTATCGAGCCACTTTATTTTACTTTCGGGTATGGAAGTAAGATGAGACCTCGAGCAGCTTTCTGTAGGCCAATAAAGAAGGGCGTTGAAATAGAGGAATTTGACGGCCTCATCTGACAGAGCGCCACGTAAAACAAAAAACTCTAATCCAAAATTAGAATCCCCAAAATGACAACCTTCGGTGGTGTTGAACTGGACAAGAAATTGCTCTTTTACGAAAGAATTCCCGGTCAAAACGGTAGTATTTTTAACATTCTGAAGGACGATCTTCAGAACCGCACAACTTACTAATACGGCTGAGAAAGTAAAGCTATTCAATGCGCTGTCAATCGAGGAGATGGTAGACTCTTCCTCACCAACCGCCTTGTAATACTTGAAAGCCTCCTTGCGAGACATGGGGTCAAAGGCTGAGAATTAGTTCACGAAGGCGCCTGAATTTCAGATCAGTAAAACTAAGTGAATTTGTCCGAACACAGCCACATACTTGTAAATCGATAACGTAAGTCACTAAGTTCATGGAACACATCGAATATGTCTATAGTTTAAAGACTCTAATACATTTCCATCGCCAGAGGTGGTGGTATTAATACCCCAATCAAGCACGTTATGTTCATCATAGTTGAGGCAGCTGGTGCCAGGTAGATGAAGAAAGCTAATATTTATCTGGGTATCACAGTCCTCTCAATATACCGCTGTATTCTTATTGGAATGTGGATGACTGCTGAATGGAAGTATGCTAGGAACAATCGATCAAATAAAGGCAGATAGCAAATGGATAAGCAGTAGCACCCAAGTGCGGATAGACCCCTGTTTAAACCAATTTGGTTTAGTTTAGGAAACTAAATCTGTGCAGCCGTGAACCCTCCTGCTTGTTGTTATCAGTAGAAGAACTTAAAAATATCAGGGAAGAAGCAAGAAACGCATAAATATGAAGGCATTCGCAAACTTACTGTGATGGGACCCCCAAGCCCAACTCGGATTTCGTAGGGGAAAGTCTCGTTCGACACACTTGTTCTTCAGTTTTAAACGTTGGTTTCGAGCATCTGAAGGAGGAAATGCGGCATTTGCATTAAATTTTGACTTCAGAATCTCCCTCTGTACAAAGTCGCACGAACAGGTGCTAGGTGTGTGTCCGTGAGATGGATCCGATGGTTCTTAATTGGCCGCACTCAGGTTGTCCGCACCGGCGTATCAGTCGTCCATGGAGGTCGTGGTTGAATGGCATATTTCCCAGGTCCCCATTTACAGTCCTAATCTACTAGTTTTATGCGTCAAAAACTGCGTAAACAAACTAGACCCTGATGCTGCCGTGCTTGCTGATGATCTCGAGATTCGAAGCGTCATCTGAAATGAAACCGACGTATGACGTTTTCAGGCCGTCTTCAATCGACTCGAACTGAGGCTGAGTGGTTGTATTCCGGCGTTAAATGTTGACAAATGCAACACTGTTGCTTTTTTGGATTACTCACAAATTAAATGCGAGCTTGGAGTAGATCAGTATACTCTAGGTCTATATGCATAGACCAAAAGACTTACGTATGAATATTTGGGCCGGAGATCATCAGTCACAACGGGTAGCCACGTAATCTGCATTAACATTTAATATTCTATAAGTCTTCATGACCATACTTACGAAACGCAAGGTTAACTGTCTGAATGACATGCCACTGCAAACAGTGGACGCCCAGAAGGACTTGGGCGTATAGATCATGACTTTGCTAAAACCGTAGTTGCACTACTCAAAGATAGCCAAGTTTGCAATATCAACACTGTATCATGTCAAGCGTATTTTCTTTTTGTTTAATGAAGCCTGCTACACTTTCAAACGCGAACGCATCTAGAATTCGCCAACTCAACCTAGAGGCAAGAGACCGCTATTGTCCACGACATCTCAGAAAAGGTTCATAGTCGTGCAACCAGAGTTGTAGATGGATAGAGCTCACTATGCTGTTAAACACGATCACTAATCTCTACAACATCTCACTGAGTTAGGGACAACTACGAGGTGCTGTCATGTGCCTGGGGACTTTGTAATTTAGCATCCACAAAAAACACGCGGAGCATCCAGCCAAAGATACACTAAAACAGACAGATCCAAAGAGACCTCGCACAGACCTGCCGGATTGTAGGGAATCATGAGCGTGGTTTGCGCTTCGACAATTTCTTCGTCTTCTTCACTAGGGATGGTAGTTGCACTTTCGGATACGCATCTCATACGCCCTTGGCCGAAGTGACCACTGTGTTCCTGTATAGGAGTACAGTCATTTTCCTGTACCCGGAATTCAGGCTGACTAGGGAAGAAATGCACGGAAAAGATATTATCGCCAAATAAAAAAATCTGCTTTAGAAGATGAACAGGAATGCCGCACAACCACCTGACTCAGAAAGCGATCGGCTGTTCTTCAAGAACATAATGCAGCACTTGGTAGAGAGCTGCCACCCACTTAAGAGAAAACCGCACACTTCCCTACCAGAGTGGATGACGTCAGAAATCAAGAAGAACTGTAGATTGAAAAGGAGACTTTGGAAAAAGTATGCCGGGTGTTAACAACCAAAGCAATTCACTGACCTCAAAACCAGAGAAGCATACGTCAGAAACTGCTGAGGAAGAAACGGACAGAATTTGAGCCAAACATACTTCAAAATATCCCGTAAGATTCCAAAACAGGCTTTGGCTACGTGAACAAGACGAAAGGAATCCTCTGTCTAATAGATCGCCAGGGAAATACGCGGTCTGATAATTCAGACAAGGCAAATCTTCTGTCCGATTTCTTCACGTCTGTGTATACCAAGGAGCCGGCGTTTGATGAAAGAGTTTGCCCCCAATTGCTAAACTAGGAAATACAATTAGTACAGTGGCCTTCACAAAAGACAACTACAGTCCGCTAAATCGCCTGATCCGAACGACGTACTCGCAAAAGTCTTGAATGAACTCTCCGACCAACTGGCCTCTCCGTTATCCAGGATCTTCAAAATTTCGATGGAAACCGGGGCTCTGCCTACCGACTGGAAGAAAGCTAGATGCTAGGAGATAACATATGTATATATTTAGTGGGTTAGAGGCAGAGCCCTTGATGACCCTATTTATGTACAGTGCTTTCGCAGATTCATACTCAGAAATAAAATTACAACAATTTAAAATGCGATCGGGTCACAGTTCAATCGTTATCATAAGGTAGTGCATAAGGGCACTGCAAATTAGTGCGGAAGGGTTGTATATGACAGTTTTTTTTTCCAAAACTGACTGTGCATAGTTATGCTGCAAAAGCCGATTTCTGTCGAAAACTAGACGAGTAGGTTTTCTTTTAAACAAACGAATGGTGCCAGCCGTCACCATCTCGCTTGGAAGCGAGTTTCACGGTCGGACGACCCGCTGGCTGAATGAAAATTTTTGACGATCATAGCGCGTGCGCTTTTTCACGACTTTGTAGGTATGGCCGCGTAGTTGGTTTGTACGGGGAAACTCAAAGAAATCTCTTGCTCCTAATGAGCAACCATGGCCGCGGACAATCCGGAACGTCCAAAACAGACTGCAGTTTATTTGTCTATAAGAGAGAGGGAATAAGTCAAGCAAATTCAGCCTCTCCTGATAAGACCAATGCTTAAGACCGTCGACCATCTTTGCCACTCTGTGTTGCACCTGTTCGAGTAAGTCCTTATCCTTCCTCATCCATGGTGTAGCTGCTGGCATTTCATACTCCAGATGAGGTCTTACAAAGACACCAAAGAGTCTTTCATCGTTGGCATTGTGAATTGATCTTGTATGTTACCAGATATTTAAAATCACTTCTCAGGTGTCGGGGAAAATGACTGACTGCCGATTTCTGACACCCGAATTGTGGACCCTGAGGATCGACATGAGAACTGCGAGGATGTTGGGTCAGATGATAGCTCCTAAGTGTCAGTGGAGGGCTCTTATATCTAAAATTGTGCTGCATATGCAAGAAGCCACAGAGCCAGTGGCAGGTCATTTGCGGCAAAATTCTCTATTAATATCATTTCATGAAAGAAGCATGCTGAGTTCAAAAATTAAGGACGTAGTGAATAACACTGAACGTTAGGACTATAAGTGACCGTTTTGCGTGCGCTACCATGGAGGCTATATTAAGGAGCACCGAACATGTCTCACAATTCTCCAACCTGCTGCTTACCCTACCAACCGGTCCCTTTCCCATATAACCATAAATGAAAATCCTCAAAAGCCTTAACACGCCTACTGTAAACAATGTCTGTAACAAGGTCGTAAATTAACGGTCATGTAGGTCCACGTTTCCGATCGTCACCGGACGCTAAACACAAATACAAAGGACCTATTGCCAGGTCTCATTTGTACCGTCAGTCGACGGTTTTCCTATTCACGTTTAATATATTGAAATAGATTCAAGCGCGCCATATTGACTATAGTTGGGTACGTGTTGTAGTTCTGCGGCAATGGATTGCTCAGAGTCGGTACCACCCCCTCTTCCCACCCGCAGGTACAGGTCTGCCCTCCAAGCCGTCCAGTCATTTAATCCGGGGTCTGGGAGTAAGTGGTTGAAATGACAAAACGATCCGTCGGCAAGTTCCACATGCGAGTTTGCCCCCCACACAGCACACCGAGATTTCACATAAAAGGGTATATGCGGCGCAGTGGAGACGGGGTCCCCAGAGTTGAGTCTGCTCTCCATTCTCTTTGCCGCGCACCGGTCGATTCCGTGGGTCGGTCAATATACCGATGCTGTGTAAAGGACAGATATTTTTAGTTAGGTGTGTTCTAATTCCTTTGTTACCGTTCTCCTAAGCCACATTCCGCTTCCTTTGAAGCCACGATGACGGATCACCAAGCGGACGCGCAGAAGGTGGAATCCCGCGTACCGACCCCTAGCCAGGAAGGAGGATAAATCAGAGGAAGGCTCGTGCATACCTTCTGGTTCTACCTACTCCACTGTCGTTCCCCCCTTTACCCACTTAACCCCCAAACCGCGATACGCCCCTTTCCCAATCCTCGATTTAATAAACGTTCCGGTATTGACCGTTCATTTCTGAGATTGTCTGTTGAAACCGTGTGATCGAACATAAAAGCCCCCGTGTCAGAAAGAGCTGTAATGGATATGTCTACTACGACCGCTAGAGACGAGCAGCTCCAAGTGCCTTCCAAAGGCCTCATTGCAGACGAGATTAAACCTTCAGGTTACTCGGGTATTACACTGGGATTTTGTGCAAGTGGCAGCCAGCTTAAACGGATGCCATACGCACGCCACGCACGACCTGTCCTTCCGCGCCACACAAATGGGGATAGGCGGACGGATCTCACATGCCTTACAATGCAATGGAAGCCGAAGAACACGCCTACCGCTTGCGTAAGAGATACCTATTCGGTCGTGTTGATAGGGAGATGTATGGTGATAGGGCTTTTC